ACATATATGAATATTCATGCGGAATGGGATAAGGCGAGAAGAACGTGATGTTAATTCAAGTCAGGTTTTGCTGCCATCCTAAAGAAGTAACTGACATGTTTAGAGCTTTTTGGATTTGGAGATTAAAGATAAAGGATTGTGGACCTATTTAAAAAAAAAGAAAAGATGAAGATCTTTAACACTGAAAACACTTTGCTAAGTTCCCGTCTCCCCAGCTGGGGCAGTTTAGTATACATGTTCCCTGTCACTGATTCCAAATCATACGCATTCTGCCCCCTTGCTGTCTCTCAGATCAGTCCTCTGTCTCTGCCCCGCTGGCACCTCCGCAGCCTGGGGGCCTCATTACATTTTGCTGGGCTTCCCACTCTCAGTCTTCCGATGTTCACCCTGTAGCCAGAATGGTCCTTCTACCGAAACAGAACCCATCATGTCACTCCATGTTTCAAACCACACTTCAGTGACTTTTCACCGTCTTTAAAATGAAACCCGCATTCCTGGCCGTGGCTTGGCTGATGAAGCCTTGCATCATCTGGTTCTGCCCACCAGATGCACCCCACCAGACTGGAGTCTTTTCTGTTCCCTTTCGGCTCTGCGCTTCACCTGTCTGTATCCTTTGTCTGAATCATTGGCTTCATCCCCACCACACACACTGGCCCACTCTCCTTTCACACCTCCTGTATGTTCCTGTATTTCTTCAAACCCCCCAGTTCATGACTTGCATCTCATTTTGCTGTAGAAGCTCGTTGAACGTGTGCCTTCCCACTAGTCTGCAGGTTGCTTGAGGACAGGAACGGGGTCTCCTATTTACATCTCCCCCACTGGCTGCTGCATTCTTCTCCTGAGTTCAGTAGGCTTCTTTATGACTATTACTTTAAACTCTTCAACCGGTAAGTTACTTACATCCCTTTCATTTTCCTTTTCCTGAGGTTTCATCTGGAAAGGTGTTTCTTTGTGTCCTCATTTTGGCTGACCTTCTCTATGAGTTATGTCAGCTACATCTCCCAGTCTTAAAAGAGTGGCTTTATGTGTAAGGTGCCCTGGTGTGGGGCCTAGTGGCACGATCGCCCTTGCTCATCAGAGCCACGTGCTCCGGGGGTATCATCAGTGTGGGGTGCGCGCCTTCCTGCAGTGGCTGGGTCTTGATTGCTGCAGACATGCTGGTGGGCGGGACTAGCCCCAAGCTGGCTGGCTGCCGTGGTTGGCCTTGGCTGCTGAGCAGCACGTGTCTGCGTGCGACTGGTCTCTGCCACAACTCGCTGTGAGGCCTGATCACAACTCCTGTGGGTTTGCTGGTGTGTAGGGCTCCCCAGGTGGGAGCTGCTTCGGAGGGACACCAGCGCTGGCCAAGGTGGACTGCGGGGTGGAGTAGAAGGTGGGAACCATTTTGGAAGGGTGCTGCTAGCAGCTGAGGTCGCACCCCGGGGAGGGCAGGAGCCACTTTGGAGGGCCGACCACCGCGGGTAGGGTCCTCAGGGGAGAGCAGGGGGAGGTGCACAGTGTCAGCTAGGTAGATGGAGAGTGACAGGAGTGGTGCACATCGGCCGAGGGCCAGCTGGTAACAGCAGAGTGAAAAACACGGTTCCTGCCAGTAGTTCTGTCCCTGGAGAAAGTTCCACCAGGTCCCTAGCCCTCTGGCACATGCCCTACATTTAGCTCATGAACCCTTGTACGATACAGGTACTTGTCAAGCTGCTGCCTCTGCCCAGAGACTAGGGGTGTGTGAGTCTGTGTGTGATCCCTGCAGAGCGGATTCTTAGTCTTCTCCAGTCCTCCAGCTCTCCTGCGTGTTAGCCCCACTAGTTCAAAAAAAAATATATATATATATATAGTATTATATATATTTATTTATTGAAGTACAGTCAGTTACAACGTGTCAGTTTCTGGTGTACAGCACAATGTTTCAGTCATACATGAACATACATACATTCATTTTCATATTCTTCTTCACCATAAGTTACTGCAAGATATTGAATATAGTTCTCTGTGCTATACAGTATGAACTCATTTATCTATTCTATATATATTTGTTAGTATCTGCAAATCTTGAACTAATTTACTGCTTCCCACCCTCTTCCCCCCAGTAACCATAAATTTGTTTTCTATGTCTGTAAGTCTGTTTCTGTTTTATAAATAAGTTTTTTTCATATTCCACATATAAGCAGCTCATACAACTTAATAAAAAAAAACTCAATCTAAAAATGGGCAGAAGGCCTAAACAAGCAATTCTGCAAAGAATACATGGCCAATAGGCACATGAAAAATTGTTCAGTACCACTAACTATCAGAGAAATGCAAATCAAAACTACAGTGAGGTATCACCCCACTAGTTTTTAAAGCCAGACATTCTAAGGGCTCATCTTGCTGGTGTGGGTGTGGGACCCCCCTCACGTGGGGCTTGGACTCTTTGCTCCTCAGCAGGGAGTCTCTTTGACAATTGTAACATCCCTTCCT